AGATTAATTATTAAAATTTAATTTAAAATTAAAAAAATTACAATTTAAATTAAAAAGGCGCGGGTGAAATCGCAGGTATAGTTGCGGAACTCTTTCCGCATGAATTGTTTTCGTTGTTGATTGCGAAAGTATATTGTGGCGGTTTGAACTCATGTGAATTTTAATCCCCTATGTATATTGTGGCAGATTAAAATGTGAAATGTTTTAATATTTACACCCAAATTAAATCCTTTCTAAAATTTATGCAAATAAATTCTTGAAATGTTTTAATATATACTAACATTGTTACCAAAATTAATTTTAATAAAAGTTAACTATTTATATAATAAAACAGAAAATATCTACATTGTCATGAAAATTATAATAATAATTTATTAAATTAATTAATAAAATTGAAAATGTTAGAAAATAAAAATAAAAGAAAAAAGTGGAAAATTGAAGGAATAAAAAAAAATAGTGATTATGACTGGCTAAAGTAATTGCGACAGTTCGCCTTAACTGTTGCGAGTATGGAAAGATGGCAATTCTTTGGTAACTGTCGCATTATTTTATACAACATGCCTAAAAAATTTGCGACGGTTGGCTCAAACCGTCGTGAGAACTGTCGTAGTCCAAGAATAAGGACGGTTTTTTGATAACTGTCGCAAAAAATCTACGACAGTTGACCCTAACTGTCGTAACAACCGTCGCAATCCAGGAATAAGGACGGTTTTGTGATAACTGTCGCAACTCAAGTGTCGTAAATCTCCTTTTTTCTTGTAGTGATAGTTTATACATGTTTGATAGTTTATACATAATGAGAAACATGTTTGATATGTAGTTTTATTGATCAATGCATTATTTTTACTGTTTTGCGAAATTGCATTTCCACCATTGACATTGATGAGAGTTGCATAAAATTCTGGAGATACATCTCTGAAATTTTTCAGTGCATTTATTTGACTATTTTTGCTTGTACTCATTGTGTAATGCTTGTGTGGTTTACTTATAGGCATTATGACTGATATGCAAGACCGGTAGAGGCACGACATGATTGCACATCATGCATCTGTTCATAGGAAAAAGAATTAACCATTGCAAGCTCATGTTATCTCCATTCCAATTGATGCAGAGACGTCAACTTATAGGGTTCATGTATCTCCTCCTTCTTCTTCTTCTCGTAAGATACGGGTGTCAGTTACTCATACATTCTTGCCTCCATCTTTCCATAGGCGATAAGTTTCATATATTCAGGCATCCAAGGCAGCAGAGGTACCACGAGTCACCGGAGGTACCTCAGACACTAGTGGTACATGAGGCGCCTAGACATGGGAGGCAGTAGAGGTATCAGACGTACCCTAGGCCCAAGAGGTAGCAGAGGCACCCCAGGAGTTTGGAGGAAGCCCGCCAGACTTGTTTATGTTGCCTCTTTACCCGACCCATACTGTCAGACATGTCTGAGACAGAGAAGTAAAATTTAGTTGAGTTTATTCTTTTTAAACTATGTTTGTTATAATATTAAAATTTTAAGATGATGATTTATTTTTCCGTAAGACTGTGATCAGCTAAAAATCATCAACCATGGATGAAAGATTACTAGCCTACAACATCCTGATGAGAAGTTGTTTTAGGATGTTTTGCAGCTATCTGGGATGAGAGATTTGTGCAAGATCGATTATGTTACGGTTAACCATGGTATACCTAATGTGTTGCAGATGTCATGATGTCATGATGGTGGAGGCACGAGAGGCAGCGTAGGAACAAGGGATCCCGAGTCCGAGTTCATCATACGCAGTAGTTTATAGTATTTGTACTCTGGATTTATTTTTTGTTGTATTACATTTTCACTTATTTCGAATTCATTCTACATATCAGTCGTATGGTCTAATTAATCATAATATATATTTACTATATCATCAATTTCATATGAGCATCACTAAAACAAACTTGAAATTTACGGTCTTATTTGATTATAGAGATGCATTTTCGGAGTCTGTCTGATGTAAATACAAAGATGCACCTCCTGAACAAACTATGGTAAAAAGGGAGTTTTAGATAGGGATGTAGTGTTAATTGAATTATTGTGTAAATACATTTCCAGATTAAATTTTGTAAAATATATTGTGTGTGACTCAATTTTAACGTTTGACTAAATACTGATAGAATTAGAGTTTGCCATAACTCATTCCTACAAAACTGGTTCGTAAGATAAAGGATGTCACTCTATATAAACTGTTAAGTGTAATTCATTGTTTTGATTTGATATGATATGATTAGATTTGATTTGAATATTTTGAGCCTTTTATGTTTTGGGCTTTTGTAAACCTAAAACTATAAATAGGGTGTCTTGCTTTGTATTCAATCACAACATAGAACAGATTTCACAGTTGCAGTTGGAGCAAGTGAAAGTTCTATAAGCAATAAGAAATTTCACAGTTGCGGGTAACACATTCTCTCCAAATATTTCTTCTCTCATTCTTCTCTTTCTTATTTGTTCTTCTTCTGTTTTATGTTCTTGATAATTACTTGTTAGTACCATTACTATCATATTGTGGGTTTGTTCATCAATCTTGAGATCAAGATTGAAGGGAATTCTTCATAGGGTGTGAGGTGAATTTCCAACATCTGGTATCTAGAGCTCCGGTTGAAGGATTCAGATGAAGATGATGTCGACCCAACCCAATACAGAAGACTTATTGGGTCTCTTAGATACCTTTGTCACACAAGGCCTGACTTAGCATACAGTGTTGGTATGATAAGTAGATTCATGCAGAAGCCAAAGGTATCACACCTAGCAGCGGCAAAGAGGATACTGAGGTATCTGAAAGGAACTCTCGACTATGGTATTTTGTTTCCAGCAGCTGATGAAGGAAAAGAATGCAAGTTAGTGGGATACACAGACTCCAGTTGGTGTAGTGACGTTGAGGATCGAAAATCCACAGCTGGGTATGTGTTTATGTTAGGTGGTGCACCAGTTGCTTGGAATTCGAGAAAGGAACCAGTAGTGGCATTGTCATCATGCGAAGCAGAATATATAGTTGCTTCTCTTTGTGCATGTCAAGCAACTTGAATGGTGAACTTGGTCGAAGAAATCACATGGAAGAATCATGGAGCAATTATCATGAGGATAGACAGCATGTCAGCTATCAACTTGGCGAAGAATCCAATAGCTCATGGTCGAAGCAAGCACATCGAAATGAGGTTCCATTATCTTCGAGAGCAGGTAGCAGAAGGGAAGATGAAGTTGGAACACTGCAGAACTGAGAATCAGATTGCAGATATCATGACGAAGGGAGTGCAGGTCGAAGGCTTCAGAAGACTAAGAGTCATGATAAATGTAGACAGTTTAGACACAATGAATTAGATGGTGTGTTAAGTGTAATTCATTGTTTTGATTTGATATGATATGATTAGATTTGATTTGAATATTTTGGGCCTTTTATGTTTTGGGCTTTTGTAAACCTAAAACTATAAATAGGGTGTCTTGCTTTGTATTCAATCACAACATAGAACAGATTTCACAGTTGCAGTTTGAGCAAGTGAAAGTTCTATAAGCAATAAGAAATCCCACAGTTGTGGGTAACACATTCTCTCCAAATATTTCTTCTCTCATTCTTCTCTTTCTTATTTGTTCTTCTTCTCTTTTATGTTCTTGATAATTACTTGTTATTACCATTACTATCATATTGTGGGTTTGTTCATCAATCTTGAGATCAAGATTGAAGGGAATTCTTCATAGGGTGTGAGGTGAATTTCCAACATAAACCTTTGTAGATTGCATCTTTAATCAATGTGCGACTTAGATTTTCCCAATACACCACTCACGTCCAACACTATTAGGCTTAATGCGTGGATATAAACAGTGGCTGACCCGAATTATTAATATATATATAAGACTTGATTTTTCTAATAAATACAAAGGTGCGTCTGAAGATATATCTCTAAAATCTAAAGAACAAATTTAAATTTGTATACTAAACTTTTCCACCATTTGAGTTGGAGTTAATATTTCTCAGTGGAGTTAGTATTTCTCTAGTGACAAGCCCGATAAGGCCTCTCATGAATTTGACATTGGCCTTTGAGTTCTAGACCCAACTTGGACCGTCTTCCAGTTTCAGAGAAGATGACATCATCCCTCCTAGACCCCACTAATAATCGCATAAGCGATGTTAGGTCCCAACAAATTAAATTAAAAATTCAGTAATAAGGTGGTTAACCTTGATTATTTATGAAAGTTCTATGAATATTAATAACCTAAATAAAAAAACAAATTAAATGGGTTTTTCTTATCAAAAATAACTTGTAACTAAATGTAGAAAAACAATTGAATTAAGATAATTGAATTAAGGTAGAAAACAATTTAATATATATGAAAACATCCATGAAAACTCAATCCATAGACACTTAATGTGATAGACACTTGTTGAAAACATCCATGAAAACTCAATCCATAGACACTTAATGTGATATACACTTGTTGAAAACATCCATGAAAACTCAATCCATAGAGAATATATATGAAATTATGAATCAATTCAAAAGCCACAGGATCACATAGAAACTAATAGGATAGGAAGTGGAAGTGTTCGCTCAATCAAACTTGTTCGTATCAGTTTGGAAAATATATTCACTTCAGTTTGAACATGTATCAACCAGTTGCAATTGACAAAACGTAATAATGTATAAATTGATTATTGAATCTACCAGTTCATTCAAGCAAAGCTTGAGCAGAAGTATAACGATAGTAATTTGACATGTTAACGTCTGGCATCCCCGAAATACATCTGCAAAACTCGGAGGTCCACTAATGCCACAATTCCAATACCAAAAGCACAAAACAAAAAGGAAAGGGGCATGTAAGAAATTCGTGCATGAAGTTAAAATTGGCAAGGTGTGACAATAAATCCCAGCACTGACATTCTAGCTGAGAGTTTGCTTGCGTTATTCAAAGAATCAGGAATTGAAACAGAAAATTTCCTATGTCGAAATAAACTCAAGATTGAAGAGCACTTCAACATCCATCAGATTTGACTCGAGTCCCTCCCAAAAATAAAGCGTCTCATCCAGTCTGATACCACTAATGCCCTTGTGCGCCAGCTGACTTGCTTGCTGTTCATTGCATTAAAGAAGCATTAATAAGTTAGCAATCGAGATGCCTTATAAGTCTAACAATTTTAAAAATATATTAGTCAAGCAAAAACAAATTATATACCTTGCATAGACAGAATACCACAACCATTGACTACTGTGTCCAATTGAAACCCAATCTCCAGGTAGCTGTGCAGCTGTCTGCTCTCCTCCCAGAGGAGCAAATTGACCCAAATGCTTGTACCTTGAGGAACAATTAAGTGTATTAATGCGGAACCATTGAATCATTCATCACCGTGTCATCGTAAAGAGAATGATAAAAGTAAATCTAGTGTAGTAAGTTAGTATGATCAAGTTACCTGAAGGGTTTGAACCGATGACGACCTTCTCCCCTGAACCTAATAGGACCCTCTGGATTTCTTTCACACTCTTCCATCCGGTTAAAACACTTGGCCAGGTAGGCTCCTTGCTGAGATGCAACCTGATATGTAGTTTCAGAAACCCAAAGTCATATCACTAAGCAAACAAAAGTAGAAAGGTACCATTAAAGAGAATGCTACAGGAGAATAGTATGACAAGACACGCACCTGAGCTGTAGCAGGAAGAAATTTCATCTGCGAGTCCACATTGAAAAGTGCAGTTTTGAGTTCTTCGATATTAATTTCAATAGATTCTTTTTCAACATCTCCTTTGGATTCTTCCAAAAGATCGGCAATGCCGCGCATCTGTTTATTCTTTAGGAATAGCTCCACCTGAGGGTATCTTTCAAAGATGTCATCCATTACCGCCTGAAATTCTTTTAGCGTAATTGTTCCTGAGTTGTCTGCATCCGTCTTCTTAAATATTGCCACAATATCTTCCTAAAATTCCGAAATTCAATTTAACAATAGTCAGGAAGAAAGGTAGCATTTGAAATTTTTAAAAAGGTCAAACTTGATACAGTTTCCTAGATAGTAAGTAGAAATCTCTTTAATAAATTCAGCTAGCTTAGAAATGCAGGCATAAATACAGGTGCGCACAAAGTTGCAATTGCAAGATATGTGCGCCGCTGTGTATAGTTTTTAACATCAAACTACAAAAAAGAAACTCAATTGTATTGGTATTACTGAATCCATCCAAAAGAATGGAATATAGCAAGGGTGTAAGGCTGTAAAAATGCCCGTATTAATTAAATAAATGATGGAGAAATAGCATTAGCCAATAGGTACCATGACTTTTCGCTGGTTTATTGTAGCACAATCACCAAGCGCATACACATTATTGGTTCCCTCAACTCTTAACCATTCATCAGTAGCAACGGCACGTCTGTTAATCTGTTAAGAATAATCAATGTCAAGTAAATCATAAATGACGTACAGAGCACGAGAAAATAATATGGAATTATAAATCAGAACAAATATTAAAGTCACATTTTCTTGAAAACACACCTGACCAATTTGTGTCATAAAATCTTTTATGAATGGACGAGTGCCAATACCAGTTGACCAGACAGCCATTCCATATGGAATTGAAGTCATTTCTCCACTTTTCATTTCTTTAGTGGAAATTTCTCTGTCAGATACCTTCACAACCATGGATCCTGTTTTCACATCAATACCATCTCTTCGGAACTTATCTTCAGCAAAAGCTGTTATTCTTTTGTCAAACCTAAAAAATGAGCATGAAAATAAAAATGTAATGAGTTCATAATTACATTCTAAACGATAAAACCACCCACTTCACACATGTAAGAATCCATGACTGAATCAAATACTTCCAAATGCTTGCTCATAGATGCAAATAATAACTTCCAAAGCATTGCTGCTAATAATTTTAAAAGTATAGAATTTTATGCTTACATGCTCAAGATATGACCTCCAGCCTCCAGAAGGGTAATTTTAAATAAATCTTTTACCCCGGGATATAATTTGACCAAATCCTCACTGACAAAATCATGAAGTGCTGCTGCAAACTCCACTCCAGTTGGACCACCTCCAACAATAGCAAAATGAAGAATTCTCTTTTTTTCTTCATCACTTACACTTGGCAAACTTGCCCTCTCAAAGCAGTCAATTACAGTTCTTCTTATCCTCTGCGCATCTTCAACTTCCTGAATAGTGCACACACATGTCCGTGATATAACTAAAGCGCAAAAAATTGAATAAACAAAATTCAATCACACTTTATCATCTTTGGGTTTTGACTGATTTAGCTCCTCCATATTATGGCTACACTCCACTGACTATTTCTTAACAGCACAAAGCTTTTTATGGTAAATAAAAAAATGGTTTGAAACACTAAGTGATAAAATAAGTTACCTTCAAGAAATGACAATTCTCCGTGACTCCAGGAGTATTAAATGTGTTGACATTAGCCCCCACAGCAATGATTAAGTAGTCATAGTCCACGACGAATTCTTCTTTTTCATTCGAATTATTGTTAATATCAGCTCGACAGTAAACTTTTCTATTTACTGAATCAATCTTGATACATTCTGCTTCACTGAATCGAGAGTCCACATGTTTCTGCATGAAGGGAAACAAGTAAAAGGTCCAGTTATATCCACTAGTAATGAGCTAAGGCGTTAAACAGAATTCTATAGGGGCAATCTAATCACCAGAAAATAAACATATTCAATTATTAACGGTGTCAATGTGTCAGTGTTAGTATCGTATTTTTGGTGTCCATGCTTCATAGTTTGAAATCGATTTGAATATATCCAATAATGTCCGTTGCTAATGAAACAAAACATACAAATTCAAAAATAATAATACAACAGTAGTTTCGATCCGGACCTTCCTGAAGATATTGCGGACAGGTTCAACAATGCTGCGAGCCTCGATGGTGCCACAGGTAACACTGGGCAGCAGAGGAGTGAATGTAAAATAATTGCGAGGAGAGACAACGTGAACCTCATATCGAGGATCGTTAAGATTCCTCAAGAAACTTGTTCCAGCCCAACCAGTTCCCAGCACCAACACCTTTTTCTTCTCAGGTACCGCCGCTTCAGACGTCGCGACAGCCTCACCGTATGCCAAAAGGCCACCGCCACTGCATCAACCAAACCAAACCGTTCACACAATCAATGCACAATAAATAAATAAATAAATACTTAACAACAATAATAATATAATATAATAATGTGAATCAAATCTAGAACACTTAACAAAATAACAGTTTCCAAAAAATTCGTAGATCTCTTAACTCAAATTACATAGAATTTAATCAGCGTTGCACCTAAATTACAGGAATCTTGTTCTGATAAGATAAAACAGAGCACAAGTTGGTTTGAATCAGAGGATAAGAGAAGCAAATAGAATCAAAGAATGATTTATGAATAATTATTAAGCATAGCATCAAGAAAGCTCAATGAAAATAGAAAAGTAGAAACTGAGAAGAGAAGTGATAGTAAATTGAAGTTGATGTTGTTACGGTTACCTTACGGTGGTGCAGAGGAGGACAATCTTGAACTGCGAGTCGTAATCACGGAAGGTTTTGGAGAAACGGTGGAAGAAACTGAAATTGCGCATTTTGTGGAGATGAAGATCTGTGTCCAAAATTCAGGGAGAGAAGAAAAGAGAAAAAGGAAGGGAAATGAGAGAGAGAGAGAGAGAGAGAGAGAGAGAGAGAGAGAGAGAGAGAGAGAGAGAGAGAGAGAACGGTGATGAAAAAGAGGATGATGGGTCAAAGAAGAATAAGAGAGAGAGGAAAATGAGAAATGCGTTGCGTGTCTTCTAGGCGGAGGCTTCACTTCACCTCCATGACATGAGTCAGGTTCCAGTCTTTTTTTTTTAAAATATTTCTTTTTTAATTTCTTAGTGATAAAAGAATTGGATGAATGAATAGCCGCCGGCGAATGTGGGCTAATGAGAACATAATATAGAGTAGTTCAAGTACAGCGTGTCATTATAGAATTATTAGATTCTCTAAACTACACCATTCATCTCAAATTAAGCGATTATATGAGGTTTAAATGTTATTTAAATCATATTTAAATAAATGAGTTAAGTTTAAGTCCATTCCTCCTTATATTGAACCACCATTGGTTTTATGAAATGAAATAAATTTTGTTGAATTTACTTGAGAGTATAAAAATGTTTTACATTAATAACTAAATAACTAATTAGTATCATGTATTCTGTCATATTATATTGTAAATTTTAAATTATTTGTAAGACATAAATGATGGATGAATTTCTATGAAATGATAGTATAAAATTATTTTATACTGTCGGTATATATCAATTATATTTAATTGTCTTAATTTTAAAGATAAAATAATTTTTATTTATTAAAATATTTAATTAATAATAATTAATAAAGTAGTTAGATGGCAAGTTAACAACATACCAATCATCTTTCTAAGACAAGACTTGAAATTAGAAGCTCAAATATGAGTGTCACTTATCATCAACAATGCCATCTCAAATAATTTATCATCGACAATATTGTCATCCCAAATAACATATTAACAATGTCATCCCAAATAGCCATATCTCAAATATCACTATGGTTGTGGCAAAGATGGTGTGGTTAATAATGCGAGGTAGCAAGGTTGACATCGGAAGACTCATATCTAATGAAATTTGGCACATCCTCCATTGAAAAATGAGCATTCTTCTTTTTCAAACTATGGATGAGATTATTTTAGCATTTCTAGATGCCCATGAGTGACTCAGCAGTGGTCTTCGTCAAACTTGACATCAATGATGCATATATTGAAAGATATTATCAAAAAACTAAAAATCTTCCAAACGCGCAATCCAAACATAGAACCACTTCTACGGACCCTAACTTAAGGAAATGTTTTTTTATAGCTAAGATATGTTGGATGTGCAATCAGAGGGAATGATGTCACTAAACGAGTCCTTACACTTGTTATAGTTGGAGCACTCGAGACTTTATTTCTATCAAGTTCCAAATTCCATAACTTTTTACGCGATGTCTACTTGGCCTGGGGAAACACTATTCCATCAATGGGATAAGCTCATGAGAGACCAACATATGAACGAGTGATCCCTCATGCCTCATTTTGAGTTGAATGTTAAAAATATACTCTTTTTAAATAATTATTACCCTGAACTTGAATAGAAAACAAAATTGAAATCCATTGTTTTTAAGATTAAGAGAGAAATCATTGTATTGGGGATAGGTATGTTGTGTAATGTCAATAAGTAGAAAAATTAAAATGATGTGGGAATGATTAGAAATTTTGAAAAGAAAACTAAAGAAAAAGAAAATAAAAATGCCAAGAAATGAAAAACATCAAAAGAAAAAGAAAAATTAAAGTAATATGGAAAAAGGATTGTAATAGAAGAGAAAAGAGACTTGTGATAAATGATTAATATGATCGCTCTCTTAAACCTAAGACTCTTTGAATCCTAGAAAAACAATGATTACTTATAAGGACAATTACATTGCAACTTAAAGACCTTAATGATCTCGTGTTTAATAACTTGTTTATATTGATATAGATGATGTTAAATTTGACTAAAATAAATGGATGTGCATGGTATGAGAGAAATCCTCACCCTTTTGAGAGATACATTTATGCAACGAAGATATATGATTATTTGATTATTGAATGGAATCTCTAATTGTATCTTTTGATATATAATAACTTATTAATAGACATTATTTATCCATGCAAGTTATTGAAAACATGTATCGATAACACCATGAATTTTGTGATCATGTATTGATGAAAAGCATGTGTGTGTGTGTGTGCTACTTCTGTTTAAGGTAAGGTTAGTTTCCTAGCGTATGAGAGAACGTAGCTTTTATTGAATCCACATCACATGAATATTGACATCTAACTACCTAGTCACATATATACATTAAGGTAAGGTTAGTCTCATCGAACTGAGGGAATTACTAATCCTTATCCATTCGAGTGGGTTTTCTGGTGAGACCTACCCCCCGGAGTTCTAGAAATGCCCACTTTGAGGACTTACATACCTAATCATATCCTACTCTCGACTAGTACTGGGTAATCCGATACTGACTGTCAAATTCTAACATGATCCTATGTATTCTCACTTACCAAGCAATATCCATTAGGTAAGTATATACTCATAAGAAGGGTTATCTAACATCCTTTTCCTAATTAATTTCCTTTAAGGGATAGGTCACTCACTTACCAATTAATATTCTTTAGGTAAGCATATACATACATAATCGTTTAACTAACTAGGGTTATCCATAATTAATCAATTATCTAATTCAATTAGATTTCACACATTCATTATTAACCGACTAGGGTTTCTTACTTTTATCGATTAACCAATTAGGGTTTCTTTAATGTATATTTTACTCAACCATAATTAATCATGAACAAGCATGTTATTGCATCACAATCATAAGTATTAGCACTCAAGTTACATCGCAAGGACATACAAGTGAAGACAAACAAGTTTACAAGAGGTGTAGTTGATTGCTTCGTAACTGTAATAGATTGCATGATCAGTATGTCTTACATTTTTCTAAGTTTCAGGGGTTTCACTCGATTGTTCTTTTGGAGCAATCGATTTCATCTGCATTTTGTCCCTAAACAAACAGTTTTCTAGAGGTGACAATCAATTTTTGTTATGGCGCAGAAATCGATTGCACTTGTAAAACTTTTCAAAAAGCCCAGCTCTAACTCAGTTTTTTAGGCACCAAAACACTATCGAGTTATTCCTAACAATCTTTAACATGCTTTGAGGGCCAAAACATGACAGAACCATCACATGCATGTTCATTTACTTAACATAGCACATTGTACATTCACAACCTTATTTCCATGCAAGTTTTCATTTATGAACACATGATCAACAACACGGACATCCTAAGAATATCAAGGGTTTATGTAACTTCGAATTGATATCAGATATGGCAACAAATTCACATCAAGCATAGTCGTAAACACATACATGCATCTCTATATTTTATCAATCCATATTTCATAAATTTTAGCCTAATTCCAAAAACTCAATGCTAGTCTAAGCCAAATATCTAAGAGGTTACAGTTGTTCCTTTTGGATTTTTTGTATTATGAAAAATAACATGGAGTACGTTTAAGTTATTATGGTGCAGAAGAGACACATGTAGAACAAGATGTTCCAACATGTGTGCTGCAACATTTGGTATCTGACAACAGACAGATGTTAGTGCAGTTTTGGTTCATATTTATTTAATCCAAAATTCTCCCTACAAAGAAGATTGATAATTCATGAATAAAGTTAATTTGGATGTTCTGTTACAACATGTGGAACACAATGTTCTAACATGTGTACAGTACAACATTTGGCCCTTTGTCAGCAGGCCATGATGGATGTTGTTAGGAGCAAAAAAATTTATTGATTTCAATCAGATTTGTTGTTGTATTTTAGAAGTGCAATTATGTGGGTTTGTTTGTTAAATATTGACAAAAATCAAATCAATTTAAATGGATATTTAATTTGAATTTGAATTAAAAGTAAATCATATCTTTTGGAAATTTTTGTGGAAGAACAAATCGTAATCAAATCATCTATGTTTTTGGATGTGATCATGCATGTTGTAAAAAGCCCAGAAGAAGCATTGCTATATAAGGAGACTCAAACCTAGAGTTTGAGGTGTGCATGTTATGAAGACTCTTTGTTTTAGGGTTTATATTTTTGAGTCTTTGTTTGAGTTATTGTTGTGTACCACTCTAGCACCTCAATTCATATCTTAAGGCATAAAGTTTGGTTTCCTTGTTGAACAAATGTCCAGAAACTTGAAGGGAATAGGGTATGACCTAGGTCTATGAGCAAGAAGGACAAAGATCATCCTAAGAAGTTTTCCCCCCCTGAGAATAAAACCGAATTCCAGATGTTGGACCATATACCGCAGCATCCTACACGACATGTGTGTTTCTATAATGGAAAGAACATGAACTCAAATAGAAAATGTCATCATCGTGGAAGATCTGGGCACATAAGGACATACTATTTTAGATTGCATGGTTATCCTCAACCCTAAAATCAACCAAGACCCAAAAGAAATGGTAAGTAGGCTCTAGCGAAGAAATGTTCTGTTACAACATGTGGAACACAATGTTCTAACATGTGTACAGTACAACATTTGGCCCTTTGTCAGCAGGCCATGATGGATGTTGTTAGGAGCAAAAAAATTTATTGATTTCAATCAGATTTGTTGTTGTATTTTAGAAGTGCAATTATGTGGGTTTGTTTGTTAAATATTGACAAAAATCAAATCAATTTAAATGGATATTTAATTTGAATTTGAATTAAAAGTAAATCATATCTTTTGGAAATTTTTGTGGAAGAACAAATCGTAATCAAATCATCTATGTTTTTGGATGTGATCATGCATGTTGTAAAAAGCCCAGAAGAAGCATTGCTATATAAGGAGACTCAAACCTAGAGTTTGAGGTGTGCATGTTATGAAGACTCTTTGTTTTAGGGTTTATATTTTTGAGTCTTTGTTTGAGTTATTGTTGTGTACCACTCTAGCACCTCAATTCATATCTTAAGGCATAAAGTTTGGTTTCCTTGTTGAACAAATG